TGAAAACCATATCATTTATTCAAAGAAATAGCTCAACATTTCAAAAGACCTTTATAGCCTTTATATTTGGGAATTATTTTAGGAAATAATTTGAACATATTCCTGCCCTAAAAGGTATGACAAATTTTTATAAAGGGAAACAAATTATTTTTTGTATTTTTTTTTTTTTTTTTTTTTGGTCTTTTGGCCATCCTGCATGGCATGTGGGGTCATATTCCCTGATCTGGGATTGAACCTGTGCCCACTGCAGTGGAAACAGGGAGTATTAACCACTGGACCACCAGGGAAGTCCCTTAAATTCTTTTTACAGAGGCAGAGAAGAATGGCGAGGTAGGAAACATGACTTGTTGAAGGCTTCCACAAGAGTTCAAGATCATGACTATAACACCATGGCATCTATCACTCTGTTCTAGTTATAAAATCATGGAGCTAAGTGACCTCACCACAGCAGATTGAAACAGTGTTTCTTATAAATCCCTTTGCTCTTACCACCAGCATCCCTTGTGACTCTGATGACTTTAAGATACAATAACGAAATCTGTCTGCCTCAGATTGGAATGGCAACTATAGATTCATGAAATATAGCCCCTAGGAATATAGTTCCCCCAGTGCATCAGAGAAATCTCTGTAAGATAAAAGCATGCCTCTATAAGAATCTCTCTCCAGCAGAGATTTGACTGCTAAAATAATATCCTTGTTGTTTACCCAGTCATACTTTTCTGATAGGTATAATTTTTTTTAAGGTCTGACTCACCAAATGCCAAATACACAAAGTAGGCACAATTGATCATTATAAAATCAATAAAATCAAACCAGTTTGGATTTTCTTCAAGCAAATAAATTATTTAGATATCTGCAAGAACTGGGTGCTGAAAGCCTGAGTTAATTAAGTGCTTAAAAATTATTTAGATGACTCCAGTTGCACAAAAAAGAACATTTCTCTTGAGTCAAAAACAGCAACAAATACCAGATCTGCAACTTTGTCCCTATTTAGTAGAGTATGTGATGTAGCACCAATATGTATCAAAGCCTGCTCTGAAGAAGAAGAACTTGTTTCACTTCTCTGTCAGTTTCCCTTCCCCTTCTGTCATCTGCTCAGGAATGTACACCCAAGCTGCTCTCACCACTTCTAATAAATTTTCTCTATAAAATGTTTACTTTAGTAGAGTTTGACAAAGATGTCTGCTCTTCATACAAGTGGGGCATAAGTTTGTCTTTAAATCTCAGTTGCCTTGAGTTCTTTCTCGGTAAACACCAATTTCCATAGTAAAACTACAAATGAGGACAAACAAACTTAGGATGAACCATATCTTTCTAGGCTCTTTGTGTGGATGAGTCACAAGCAATTAGAGTTGTTATTAAGTTACCAACAAGTACAGCCTGCACATCTTGGAACAAGAACTTCAGCAGCCAATGTGGGAGACAAAGTTTGAACAGGACGCTGACACTATTTCTACCTTTTCCCCCCTTTCAGCCCTGCACCTTTACCGAAAGAAGGACACATGTTATAAAGGACAAACAATAGGAAGAAATTCTTAGACACCTAATCAAAAGAAAAGTACAAAGGGGAAAAAGTAAGTAATCCATGCCATGTGTTGTCTAGAAATACTGTCTGATTCAGACGCTGATGTTGATGAGTTGGATAGGAGAAACAGAGCAGCTCCTTCAGATCTCATTTTCCTGGGTAGCCTGTGTGTATAGGTAAATCTATGAAGTCCATTTCCAGAATGGCATTCTCCTTAGTCAAGAAGGGAAACTCTGACAATTAACTTCAAAATCTGAGGCAGGGTAGTATTTTTTTCAGTCTCCAAAGATCAGCGGAAACATGTCATGGGAAGTAACATCTACATATAAAGCAATTATAGATCTGCTGAGTCTAAAATATACATAGAGAGAGAGCAAGAAACTGGTTCACAGGTACCTAAAGGTATGGAATTTGTACTATGCCTAAATCATCAAAGTTAATAAGTGAAAAACTTCTGGTTTAGGTTAATACACTTCTATGTGAAGGAGTGAAGCACAAATGTACTACCTAGTTAAGAATTTTTTTAAGAATTTGCTAGCTAGAGGGGCACAATGCTCTGCTGATTTTAGTTTCAGTAGAATAACACTGCGAGATACACAGATACTGAAAACAGAACATACAGACCCAAGGTTTAAATAATATTTTCACTTTGAAAACTGTCACAGCCATCAGAAGATTTGATATCAAATTATATTTTTAAATTCTATTCCTTTGAAAAGTAATTTGATGAAAAATAATTACACCACCACTAGTTGAGACAGAGCAAGAGCTGTCACTATAATAAAGGGATAGCTACAAAGTTTGCCACAGGAACAATTAAAAAGATAATATGTTTAGCTGTATAAATTGTTTAAAGGTAAGACACAAAGCAATGAGCCCGGATAAGAGGAGGCGCCACACTGGTCATACCTCTCTAAGCAAAGGCAATCAAAGCTCCAGATTAGCATCTTCATAACAAGCAACTGACTCCAAGGCATGGGTCATAATCAGAGACGTATTTCCGGGTTCAAGAGCAACTAGACTCTTTTTAATAGAAGAATCTAAAACAGAATTTCCCTATAAACCTCTTTTCATAAAGAACCCAAATCAGAGTTTGAGATTAGCAGATGCAAACTATTATATATAGAATAGATAAACAACAGTCCTACTGCAAAGCACAGGGCACTGCAGTCAATATCCTGTGATAAAGCATAATGGGAAAGAATATGAAAAAGGAAATAAATGTACAACTGAGTCACTTTGCTGGATAGCAGAAATTAACACTACATTGTAAATCAACTGTACTTCAATAAAATAAATTTTTAAAAAAGAACCCAAAACATTTATGCTTTATCTTGTTAAATCAATAGAAAAGTAACACTGTTACAACAGTGGTCCCACTAGACGAAATAGATGAAGTTTTGCCAACAAAATATTATTCACCCACTTAAAAACCGTGATCAACGAAAGAGATCCAGACCACTGGAGAGGCAGAGAATAACTCATAGAAGTCTAATTCCTCATCTACGGTGTTTCTTTAGCTCAGCTAGAGAAAGCACACACATTTCATTGCTCTGGCTGTCATTCTGAAAGGGGCTAATGATTTTCTGCAATGAAAACAGGCTGAGAAAAATAATGGAACTTAGTCACTAAGAAGTCCTTCTCTACTTAAAAAGACAAGTCAAGCAGAGGCTCAGAGTTGGAGAACAATATCTGAGAAACTGCCATATGTTTCACTGATAGAAACCTAAGTGGTGATAAATCAAAGATGTAAGATCTATTCCTTACTCAAACATCAACAGGAAACTCTTCTTGCAGCAGAGTTAAACAAAATTATGGATTCAACAGTTGATTGAAGTTCCTCTCTGTGGCATGAGAGAACTTTATAAAGAGCTAAAATTGAGATAGTGCTATATGATATATACAGTCTTTCCCCAGACTATAGCATTGAATATGGCACATTTAATAATACACATGGTACCTGCTTTAGTGACGTGCATTGCATCTGACCAATGGCCAGTTACTTGACTCTAAGACATTAATAATATGGCAGTTGAATAATATATAAAAAAATAACCCAATCAACAAAGCCTGCTACTGTAATCTTGAATAAAACACTTCAGGTTAAAATATATCATTTCCAGGATTCACAGTTGTAAATGATAATTCCATATGAAGAGGATCTGTTAAGCATCCTCAGACCGAAACTATCAAAAAGATTTATTAGGTCACCTATCTCAATAACTCTTGCAGTGCAAGTCTAGGGACCTTAGATATTGCTGTGCTTGATTCCAGGGGACAACCCTGGTTGCCAAGTTAAAGCTGAGCAACAAGTATGAGTCCTCCAAAATACAAGTTTACACTAAGAATGAAAGCACAGCCCTCAACATGGACCATGTGCTCAGACACAAAGTGCAAGCCACTGACAAACAGCTCAGAAAGCCAAGAAAAAGTACAAAACCCATTAGCTTTCAAACTTCGAAACATCCAGAGACAGAATCAGAAACAGAAGCTTTGCTCTTTTAAAAGTGGTCTTCACAAACCAGTTTTGTGTTTGTTTCCATTTTCTTTCACAGTTTAAGCCTCAATCAGATCAGCTGTCTCCAGGGATTTTGAAATTGCTATAGATTAAAATCCTCTCTGACTCAACTGTTTGACTAATGCCGGGTGTTTAATAATTCTACTTGTAAGAGACTTTTTTTTGATGAAACCCTGCTGTATGCTAGTTTCAGATGCACCACAGCTGCGCCATATAGAAAGTATCACTGTCCTTACTTTTGTTATCACTGCATTTAGAGATGAGAAAATGTATCATGGAAAACAGTTCTGTTAAAGATGGGGCTGAAAACAATTTTACAATATTAATTTAGCAACTACCACCTATAGAAGCAAAGACCTATTTCCAGGTACCAACGATACATATTCGTGGCGTGGTTTCAAGGATAGGAAGTTAATAACTGTGATAGAGTTAAGTTAATGAATTTCTAAACTTCATGCTTTCAATAATAAAGCCATTTAAGCTATAGCATTTGGACTCTCTGCTTCCACAGATCAGGCACTTTGATACTCAACAGGTTGAGTAAATTGAATCCATATATTGTATTTACGTTCTCTGTCAAGGTTGCTTCTCCACATTTGAGAGATCAAAGGCTAAAACAGTCATCAACCCTGTAGCCTTCAATACTGTGTTCATTACATTTAATCAAGTGCCAACTCCATGGTATCATTCACCAACCTTAACAATATTTAAATGCATGGAGTTATTTGGCAGCAAATGTAGGCACAGTATTGTTTTAATACACAGACACACACGCAACTCCCCACATTCATGTGTACGCATGCTTGCTCGCTCACACGCAGCCATCCCTCCTCACCCCCCTTCCCCAAGAGAAGAGAAAGATGGCAAGAAATATACAGTAGCTACATTGTGCAAAAAAAGAAGTTAAAAAGGCATGGGAAAAAAAAACCATTAAACATTTTGTATGTAGTCTTCTACCTGAGGCAGCATCGATCACGGTGGAAATTCCCCTTCGATCAGACACTGGACGGGATGACCCTGGCATGCTGACTGGGTCAGAGCGGACTGGCTGGATCCTGCAATGCAATTGAATTTAATTCACATATGTTACCAGCATCAAAACTGTCCCATGCTACAACAGACCCCAAATCAGCAATGCTGGAATAGCCCAGTCCATTAAAGAACCTTTCACTCTAAAATAAGGCAAACGGGTGAACTTGCAGTCCCTAAGATTCTTTCAAAAGACTTAAAGCACAGCATTCTCTACACTCTGGACCCCTTCGTCTCGTTTTGTGGTTTTCAACAGCTTTTAAACAAGGGGTTGAAAAACGGATGTTCATTTACAAAGGGACAAATGAAATGCAATGAGAGAAGACACAAAGCACATTATGCCGAACCCTTTGGCATTTGAAAAGTATATGTGGAATTGAGACAAATGGTAGATAGGAAGCTATTTGCAAAGCAGAAATAGAGACACAGGTGAAGAGAACAAGTATATGGACACCAAGGTGGGAAAGGAGAAGACGGGTGAGTTGAGAGACAGGGACTGACATATGTACTATGTATAAAACAGATAACTAATGAGAACCTACTGCATAGCACAGGGAGCTGTGCTCCCTGTATACATATACATACATGTATACATATACATACATGTATATGTATGACTGAGCTGCTCTGCTGTGCGCCTGAAACCATCACAACTCTCTATTTTAGTTATACTCATATACAGAATAAAAGGTTAAAAAAAGGGAGATGAAGAGTTTTAAGAATCTTCAAACTCATGAATAGAATCGTTGCCTTCCTTAAAAGACATCAGTTGATAAAAAAATTTGAGTCACTCTCTTAAAATCCTTAAAGAAAATTATTTTACATATGGCAACAAGCATAGGATAACAAACCTAGACAGCATATTAAAAAGCAGACATCACTTTGCCGACAAAGGACCATACAAAGCTATAGTTTTTCCAGCAGTCATGTACCGATGTGAGAGATGGACCACAAAGAAGGCTGAGTGCCAAAGAATTGATGCTTTTGAACTGTGGTGTTGGAGAAGACTCTTGAAAGTCCCTTGGACTGCAAGGAGATCAAACCAGTCCATCCTAGAGGAAATCAGTCCTGAATATTCACTGGAAGGACGATGCTGAAGCTGAAACTCCAATACTTTGACCACCTGATGTGAAGAACCGACTCCTTGGAAAAGACCCTGATGCTGGGAAAGATTGAGGGCAGGAGGAGAAGGGGTAACAGAGGATGAGATGGTTGAATGGCATCACCGACTCAATGGACATGAGTCTGAGCAAACTTCAGGAGATAGTGAAGGACAGGGGAAGCCTGGCGTGCTGGAGTCCATGGGGTCACAAAGAGTCAGGTATGACTTAGCGACTGAACAACAAAATAGGATAACACAGCTGTGTTGGGATGTGGCTGCCAGGTGGTTAGCTAAAATCTCTACTATCTAACTGAGTTACCACAACAATATCACTAATTAGCATGTAAGAATCAATTAGAATGTCAGCAAAACTTCAATTTACTACATATGAGTTTAAGTTGCTTGGAAATGGTGAATCTATTAATGCTAAAAGTCTAGTTCCAGCTGTATTTCTGTACTATTCACTGAAGGATTTCTGTATCGCTAAAAGAGCTGAGAGGCCCAGGCAACTTAAAGGAATAAAGACTTACTATAATAGTCTAAGTGTGCATTTTTTGGCAATGCATTCATTCAATAAGTATTTGTTGAGTATTAGTAATGTGTCAGCAGTATTCTAGGAACAAGCAGAAACAAAACACAAAATGCAAAGTCTGTGTATAGATATATGGTATAGCACACGGGCATTCAAAACTGATGCAAAGGAAAACTAGTGTGAAAATCAATGAAATAGGTAATAAGAGCTCGGAAAGAGGAAATGAGGGAATGAAAGCATGGTCCATAGCAGAGTGTGAGGATCTTGTGGAGTTGGAACAGAAATTGGACCTCTATACAGTGTTAGGATGATGTATTTATATGCAAAGGAGCAAGAAGATCTCTTTAAACACAGAAGTAGAAAAAGCAAACCCTTGGATTTGCAGCCAAGCATGATAAATGCAGGTCATCTTGACGAGCATTATTTGGCTTATGCATAGAGTTTATAGAGGACACTGATGAAGATAAGAAGTTGGTAAGCACCATGGGACATTACAGAAGCCTGACATTTCAATTACGGGCTGTAGAAAAAGGGTCCTCACTGAAAGCACAGTAGGAATGTGTATGTGTTTGTTGTATGAAAGGCAGAAATAGGAGGGAGGTGAAAACTGCATTTGACCTAGCACTGGAAGTTGGAAATGCTGATATACTAATATTGATCACTGCTCTAGTGGTGTACTACCCAATAGCCCTTCTATACCAGCTTATTTTCTCAAACCAGTCATGGCGATCCCATCATCTCATGGTGAGATTAATTAGGTCTGTGATGAGTGGGTCTAAGCAAATGTGGGCCACTAAGAAAAGAGGAGGAGTTTACTTGATGTTTCTAGAAGAGATGTTTTCTGGGTCTTAATGAAAAACAAGCAGCTAGCCTGTTAGATATGCTCAGTGCATGCAAATTAAAGCTCCCTCCCAGTCTAAATAACTTATGTGGGCTAATAAATTTCCTATTATTAATTCAATTTATAGCACTGGAGTTTCTGAATCAACCACAGTTGTGGGTGGAGTGTGGTTTGGGCTAGAGATGAAAGAAGGCTGGCCAAGAACTGATGGATTGAAACTGGGCAACAGACACACAGGGGTTTAGTCTATTATTCTTCTTAATTTTACAAATTTTATATATGCTTAAAATGTTTCCATAATAAAAAAAAAAGACAAAAATAAAAACAAACTGGTAGGGGTGATGAAAATGTCCCAGAATTAGGAGGATGCAGCAAAACATAGTGACTATATTACAACTACTGAACTGTACACTGTTTCATGTTATATTAATTACAAATCAATTAAAATAACATGATTAAAGTGTGAGGATCTAATGTATCACACAGTAACTATGGTTTTGATAATACTGAAGTTTGCCAAAAGAGTAGAAGTTAAATGTTCTCACACAGAAAGATCACAACATACATATATAAACTATATCAAACAATGGATGTATTAATTAACTAGATGAAAAAATAAAATGAAATGAAGTTGGTTTCCCAGGAGCTAACCTCGAATGGAAAACTAGGTTTTATATCTCAGTTTCTTTTACATTATCTATTTCTCAGGTCTATTCATAAATATTTCATTGACCTTTTTCTACATGTTAAATCCCTATTCCAAATAAGGAGCTGCTATGAGGTTAGCCAGGCTTCCCTGGTGCCTCAGTGGTAAAGAATTCACCTGCTAATGCAGGAGACATGGATTCGATCCCTGTGTTGGGAAGATCCCCTGGAGAAGGAAATGGCAACCCACTCCAGTGTACTGGCCTGGCAAATCCCACGGACAGACGAGCTTGGCGGGCTGTTGCCCATGGGATCGCAAAAGAGTCAGACGTGACTGAGTGACGAGACATCGAGGTTAGCCATGCCTGGTCTCCTTATGGATGTGACAGCCAACAACATACCTGACAGCTACCATTTTGGTTAGGATACAGGAAGGCAGACTATCACAGCATCATATTAATTCTCAGTGATCTGGGGTACAGGAGAAGGCACTGAATGTGAAGGGTCAGTTGCACCAAAAAATCTAAACAAGACTTCGCAATTTAAAGGAGAAAGTAAAGTCAGCAGCCATAATGCCCCTGTGCATAAGCCGAAAGAACTGTAGAACCAGACATAAGGAGTCGGGATAAAGTGATGGTGCACAGAGATGAGGAGAATATCAAGAGTGGGATTTCTAATTGGATGCTGGGCAGGAAATGGTACTAAACAGGACACATAATTGAAACAATGTGAGATAAATCTGAATTTTTCATCAAAATTGTGTTCTCATGGGGTTAAGATCTTAACCAAGGGCCTATATGCTCAAAATTTTAAATATAAACTGCAAGCGAAATACAACAAAATTATAAACCTGGGACTAATATAAAGGTTTCTAATATTTATATATGCCCAACAAATAGGACATAAACAATTTAAAGATAAATACCGGGAGCTCTTTAGTATAAGAAAGAGGAAAAGTCCCTGAGGAAAATTCTAGAGGATTTCAGGAATAAAGCTGTCTGAAGAAGCAAGGTAGAGAGCTCTTAGACAAAGACCTGCGTCTGAAGTAAGGGCTAACCAAGAAAGCTAGAGGAGGTCAAAAACAAAGGAACAGGGACATCCCTGGTGGTTCAGCGGCTGGGGCTCTGCACTTCCAATGCAAAAGGCCTGGGTTCGATCCCTGTTCAGGGAACTAGATCCCGCATGCCACAGCTAGGAGTCTGCATGCTGCAAATAAAGATCCTGCATGCAGCAACTAAGACCCAGCAAAGCCAAATAAATAAAAAATTCTAAAAACTCAAAGGAACAGAGCCGGGTGCACAGAGCTAGAGATGTTCTCCAAAAAAAGGGACAGGATCTTATCAGAGCAGCAGGTGACAGTCATCAGAAAAAAAAAGTGGGGTGGGGGGGTGGTCGCTGAGAATCTAGTAAATAGTAAAGAGAATAAACATAGTTTTATAGGTTCATTTTATTACTATGTAAGTAACAGAATAACCTACAAAAACAGATGAATATGCACTGAGTCACTAAGCTGAGAACTGACTCTGCTTGACTTCCTGAAAATGGACCATACTTTATAATTGGTATCTGTGAAAAATGGTCCAGCATCCACCAAGTTGCCTCACCACTGAAGAAAAGTTCTACTTCTAGAAAGCTGAAGAAAATATAATAGACCCAAAAGAGCAAAAAAAAAAAAGTGGGAGCCTATTATACAGAGTGAAGTCAGAAAGAAAAACACCAATACAGTATACTAACACTTATATATGGAATTTAGAAAGACTGTAACGATAACCCTGAATGCAAGACAGCAAGAGAGACACAGATGTATTGTAAGAGAGACACAGATGTATTGTAAGAGAGACACAGATGTATAGAACAGTCTTTTGGACTCTGTGGGAGAGGGCGAGGGCGGGATGATATGGGAGAATGGCATTGAAACATGTAAATTATCACATGTGAAATGAATCGCCAGTCCAGGTTCGATGCGTGATACAGGGTGCTCGCGGCTGGTGCCCTGGGATGACCCAGAGGGATGGGATGGGGAGGGAGGTGGGAGGGGGATTCAGGATGGGGGACACATGTACACCCGTGGCAGATTCATGTCAATGTATGGCAAAACCAATACAATGTTGTAAAGTAAAATAAATTAATTAATTAAAAAAAAGAATTTTAAAAAAGTAAAAAAAGTGAAGACATAAAAAAGGAAAGCAAACTCAAATAAAAAACTAAAATACTTGAAAAGGTATTAGAGGAGACATGTTCCATCACATGTGCGTGTGTGCTAAGTCGCTTCAGTCGTGTCTGACCCTCTGCAGCCCACAGGCTCCGCTGTCCATGGATTCTCTAGGCAAGAATACCTGGAGGAGACTACCCTTTCCTCCTCCAGGGAACATTTCCAGGAATCAAACCTAGGTCTCTTAAGTCTTCTGCATTCGCAGGTGGGTTCTTCACCACTAGCGCCACCTGGGAAGCATTACATGAGTTGTTCTTAAATAGGATGAGATGGTTGGATAGCATCACCAACTCAATGGATGTGAATTTGAGCAAACTCCTGGAGATAGTGAAAGACAGAGAAGTCTGGTATGCTGCAGTCCATGGGGTCGCAAAGATTTGGACACGACCTCGTGACTGAACAGAAAGAAGAAACTAGTCCTAATTCACCTCTACAACAGCTTTTGCCTTAACGAAGAATAAAAATTTGTTATATATTTGTATACTTACAGTATAAAAATTTGTTACTAATGTTGACAAAGAAGTAGAATAAAAATATATTCCCAACATACGATTGGAACACATTTTTCAAACAATTTTTTAAAAAAGAAATTCAAGAAAAAGGTAAAAGGGCTATTTTAGATTCAGATAAACATATACTGTAGAAATTTTTCTGAAAAGAACACAAAGAAAGGAAATTATATTGCATTAGACTGGGCCCTTCATCATCTGTTGTACCCTGATATGTCAAGTCTTGGCATAACAAATTAAACTGCTAAGCAAACTTAAGTTGTCTTAGAAGTCAAGTTAAGTTGACTTAAGAATCAAGAAGTTCTCAATTACGTTTTAAAAAAAAAACCCTAAAAATAAAAAGCATGCTCTGTAAACTTTGTATAATGATTCTTACAAGTGAGGATCAAAGAATATGTATGATGAAAACACAGAGATAGAGGATAATCGGAAATACGAGAAAGGCAACACAAAATAGGATGGCTTTTAAAAGTGCACTGAATATTAGATCCAGGAAAGTACAATCTAGAACACAATTATTTATTGGAGGTGATGAGATCTCACGTAAGACCCCCAGTGATTAATAATGAGTCACAAGTTACAGTGCATGTGTTCTGCAATATGATACAGTGTGAAAGGGGGAAACATAAAGTTATCTAAGATGTTCACTACAAATGAACATATTAATCTGGCCAAATCACTCTCCAGTTCTTATTTCTTACCTGAGACTGTTGAGGTCAAGATCATCCGTATCAAAATCCGAAAGGGGCTGTGGAGTATCACTTGGACCATGAGACTGCAACACAGATGAACTGGATGATATGACTGTGGTCTGGCCTGAGGGATGGATGGTTTTGAACTGGAACTGTGGACCCATCCACAGACGTCTGTGGGGTCCGGTATGTGTTACAATTTCTACCTGGAACAGACCAGGAATCATGATTGAGGTGTATCATGACTTCCTTCTGAGAGCCTTTCATCATCCCCCCATCTCGTCTCTGAACACCCACATTCTCCAAGAAGCCCATCTTAACCTAGTGGGAGAGGGAGAGGGTATCATCCACAAGCAGAAAGTTGTGACAATAGCATGTCTATAGACATGACATGACATGTCATGCATGACATGCATGACAACAGAATGTCTATAGACATTCACTACATCCATCTACTGGTTTTTGTCACAATATAATAAAAATTCATTTAGTGTCTGTATGTGTATAAACCGGAGAACACACACACACACACACACACACACACACACACACACACACACCCATACACAACACAAAAATCACATGAATATAAAGGACCAGTTGCCTGCCTCAACACCTAGCACTGGCTACCTAAGGAGTACCTTTTTCACTCATTCTAGACAGTCCTTATCACTCTGTGGGCATGCAGTGAATATTACACTTGTCAATCCACATATTAAAAGTAATTCCTTCACTGAGGACTAAGCTCATAACAAATGCGAAGCTGTTCTTGAACTATCCAAGGAAAAGAAAAGGTCTGAAATAATTTAACACTCATAGCCAGTTTCTTTCCACAATTAAATATTATAATATTTACTATACTTCCCTCAAAATTCCCCCAAATTTACTTTTAAAGGAAGGCAGGATTACAAATTTTCTCTCAAACTAGATTTGTCTTCAAAATACCATTTCTTAACTACAGTGTTTCCTCAGCTCCCACTAATTTTGACATAGGTATTTTAAATGCTGCAGAACAGTAATACCAAAATGCTTTATGAATTTCATGCTCTATGGAAGAGGCAGGGAATGTTGCCAATATCAGACAAAGCAGAGAGGAGGACACGCGGTAAAACCTAAAAATAAACGTGATTTTATAAACAAGAGACTTGAATAAGAGACTAAATATGCAAACCTTTGGTGAGACACTATTTCTCAATGTCTTATAATTGCTACATTCATGTCTATATACACAGTTCATAGAACTGACTTCCCATGGGCCTTAATGTTGCCCTGAGTTCTTTTGTATTTAATCACATTTCTCTGATTGTGGTGATTAATTCTTAACAAAACACAACTGAAAAGGTTCACGGAGTGCAGCTCCGTGTTTGTAAAGTCCTAAAGGGCAAAAGCATCATGGTCTTGGAACAATATCCACATTCCCGCTAATCATGAGGAGAAAACGACTCAGATTTAGGACAGTGATTTCTCATTCAAGGAGTTGTATTCAGCAACATAAATGAGGCCACAGATAAAGCATGCTGTGTATTTTAAGCTCAAAACCATCAGTGTCACAGAGCCGAGAGGTAAACAGATGCCTGTGCAATTTCACTGAGGCGATGGCCAGATGTTCCTGCTCACCCTCCTGTTGTGTGCCGTACAAACATATTGTGTATACTTTCACACTGACAGCACACATTACCCCTTTTTCTAATTGAAAAGTTGAAGTGAAGGACAGTGGTTTCTCTGCCAGCATCCTTTTTAAAAAAACTTCATTGTGGTATCCTCAAGAAAGGATGAATCTCCATGTGCAACCTAAAGGAGTTTTTCCTGTGAGTATTTTCAGTGTGATGAAAAGTATGTCACCTAGAAACAATTTCATTCTCTGGTTTCCAGATTCCCTTTAGTATTTTGGGCTCTCCTCCCTGAGAAAGCAGTGAAACTGCACCCGGGCCCCTAGGAGGCACCTGTCTGCTGAAAAGCTGCGGGGATTTGGTAATTCGAGACCCGGTCATTAACTTCACCCAGTGATGTCAGACTTGAAACAGACATAACAGCATCTGTAATGAAGTCACTTGTAATCTCATCATTTTGAAATCTGCCTGAGTATCTTTTATTTCAAAGCCCTGGAGATGAAGACAGCTTCACCTGGCAAGGGGAGGAAAGGTCAGTGGAAGCTGTTACAGGACTGGTTTGGAGACCCTTGGAAGCCACGTTACAGGAGCTTAGGAAAGGAAAGCCAGGCTGGCACTTGTCAAATTAGGAGGCAGAACTTCCCTAATCAAAGTCTGGGCCCAGTCTTCAGAAAATCTTGCCTCCACAAAAGAAAGCCCAAAGATTATTGAATGGCTTCACCATTTTAACCAGGCCAGTTCTTATCTTAATCCAAACAGTCCATCTGAAATCTAGGGTTCTGGGGGATATAAATGGCTTGTTTGAAAGATATGCGTACTTTATGTTCTCTGCATGAAAGCTAATGTACACACACATATATGTATATGTGTGTGTATAAAATATATGTATATGTAGCCCTGCAGCAGTATTTCTGAGAAATTCTTAATATGGAAAGATGACCAATTCTTGATGACCCTAAAAATAATCCAAATTCTGCCCATTTTCCTCTAAGGAAAAAAATTTTTTTAATAAAAAGAGATAAATGGATCTCTGTTTTCTGTCACCTTAATAGACCCAATGTTTCAGAGTCTCACCTGAGACAGCCACTCTTCATCTTCCTGTCCACTATGGTCAGAAGCTAAACTGTCATAGGACCCGTGCCGAGTAATGGGCCCAGGACTTCCAGGGGGAACCACTGAAGGAGAAAGAAAACATATTTAAACAACTTTAATCCATGCCGTGAAAAAACAAAATGAATACGGGCATAACCATCCTGGATACTGTGGTGATTTATAAGCTAAAATAAGACACTTAACACACAATTCAAATAATAATGAAGAAGAAAGATTAAATTTCTTAGGAGCAAGAAAAATCTCCAACTAGGAGCACACCTTAAAAAATACCTGTGGAGATCTAATCATTACATATATCATTGTTGAAAAAATAAACAATTAACTGCATCTTAACAGCACAAGTACATAAGAAGCAGTGACAATCCCACTGCCTGTGCACCAATGTAATTCCTATATCTCAGGACACTTCAATGCCTTCCACCTAACAAAGAAATTAGGTTGATGCACTTCTTATAATTTGGGAAGGGGTTTTAAAAACAAGTATCATATAAGAGTCTTTAAGAGTCTACTTAATAGTTTCACATAAATGGAAGGCACGAAAACATTTTAAATTTTAGTCAGGATGGCTGCTATCCAAAAGTCTACAAGCAATAAAATGCTGGAGAGGGTGTGGAGAAAAGGGAACCCTCTTACACTGTTGGTGGGAATGCAAACTAGTACAGCTGCTATGGAGAACAGTGTGGAGATTTCTTAAAAACCTGGAAATAGAACTGCCATATGACCCAGCAATCCCACTTCTGGGCATACACACCAAGGAAACCAGATCTGAAAGAGACACGTGCACCCCAATGTTCATCGCAGCACTGTTTATAATAGCCAGGACATGGAAGCAACCTAGATGCCCATCAGCAGACGAATGGATAAGGAAGCTGTAGTAAATATACACCATGGAATATTACTCAGCCATTAAAAAGAATTCATCTGAATCAGTTCAAATGAGATGGATGAAACTGGAGCCCATTGTACAGAGTGAAGTAAGCCAGAAAGATAAAGACCATTACAGTATACTAACGCATATATATGGAATTTAGAAAGATGGTAACGATAACCCTATATGCAAAACAGAAAAAGAGACACAGATGTACAGAACAGACTTTTGGACTCTGTGGGAGAAGGCGAGGGTGGGATGATCTGAGAGAACAGCATCGAAACATGTATATTATCAAGGGTGAAACAGATCACCAGCCCAGGTTGGATGCATGAGACAAGTGCTCGGGCCTGGTGCACTGGGAAGACCCAGAGGATCGGGTGGAGAGGGAGGTGGGAGGGGGGATCGGGATGGGAAACACATGTAACTCCATGGCTGATTCATGTCAATGTATGGCAAAAACCACTACAATATTGTAAAGTAATTAGCCTCCAACTAATAAAACTGAGAAAAAAGACACCACTTTTAGTTCCTAAAACAATGATTTATCAAAAGAAATGTTTCTTTTCTTTTTTTTTTTTAATGCTTCTATAGTTTCCCTAATTTTTAGGTCATAGGAGATAGGCTTAAAGCAGAAACAGCCTGCTTTTCATACACAGGACCATCTCTGCTTGGTGTCAGTCATTCAGTCGTGCCCAAGTCTTTGTGACTCCAGGACTGTGGCCCACCAGGCTCCTCTGTCCATGGAATTCTCCAGGCAACAATACTGCAGTGGGTAGCCCTTCTCCAAGAGATCTTCCTGACCCAGGGATTGAACCTGGGTCTCCCTCACTGCAGGAAGATTCTTTCTTAATAGTAAAGATGCCTAGGTTAGGAAGATCTCATGGAGAAGGGAATGGCTACCCACTCTAGTATTCTTGCCTGGAGTATTCCATGGACAGAGGAGCCTGACAGGCTACAGTCCATGGGGTCACAAAGACTTGGACATGACTGAGTGACTAATCTTTGCTTAGTCAAAGCATAAAATGATTCAGTAAACATTTATTGAGTTCCTACTATAAACCAAATATTATCCCAACAAAAACTTAGCCTCCTCTACTTTAAGTCCCATACTTTTTATTTGCTTATTTTTATTATAAAATAGGACTTTAATTTTTTAGAACAATTTTAGGTTCAAAACAAAATGGAAGAGAAGATACAGAGATTTCTCATACATTCTCTCCCTCATTAAACACTTTAATACTAAGAGAAATAAAGCAATAAAGTACTGAGGGGAAATAGAGAAAAGAAAAGAGAACCAAAGAGGAAGGAAAGATTGTGAGTATTAAAGAAACCTGGAAGAAATAGAATAGAATGAGAGAAAGAAAATAATCTCAGAATCTCTACCACCCAGAGATATGTTTATATACTTCAATATGTATATTTTCCATAGGCTACATTTCTAAAATTGAAATCAGAGGATATGAACATATCTAAATTTCTTAGTGCATACTCCCAGAAAGATATATATATTTCCACAAGGAGTGACTCACAAGCCAATCTCACAACGCTCTTTCCAGAACAAGTATTTTGATGAACTAACTCAACAAAACAGGTGTAAGTGAAGTAGACAGAGCAGAATGTAGGGCAAGATTTAAAGAAGACATATTCACAAAAACCTTATCTTAGCTAGCTGGGAGGGGAGAAATGATACTTAACCCAGTCAATCACTCATCAGAGGGAGATAAATAGTATTAAAATATAAGATTTGCAATAGTTAAAACTATTAGCTGTGAGTTCTTCAAAATCCTAGTTCTACAGCTGAGAGGCAGGCTGGCAACTGGCACAAAATACAGTGACCACCAAAGCAAAACAATTTCCTAGGATTCTGAATATCATGAAGAAAAGAATATCATAATCAATTAATGTTGAAGCATCCTTTTAGATAAAAACTGATAAGTAAATTTATGTTTGCAAAAGGCTAAGTGTTTCCCAACCACTTGTAATTTTTTAATAAAGTTGAAATTCTTGATACAGAACAGAGCAAGAGTATGCCTCGAAACTGCCCTCTCCTTAAATACCAATCAAGAAGGCAGCTAAGGACACATAGATAGAGGTCAGCACAACTTGGAATGCAGCTGAGGGCAGAGAAAATTTTAAAGAGGTGAATGAATAGGCCATGCATACATCTGAGAAGAAAATGTTACAGAAAATATCAATTAAGTGGGAACATGAAATGTTTCAGTCATGTCAGGAAGCCAGAGTGGTAGGTGCGGTGAGGCAAGCTGAGAGTGGAAGATGAATCAGGAAGGCAAAGAGGGAAGGGAGGGAGGGCCGGCAGATGGTTTAGGACTTTTGTTTTTTTTAAATAAAGGGTAGACAGATAACTGGAAAAATTGGAAGAGAAGTGAGAAATTATACGCTTGCTACTAACTAGTACCTAATGTGATTTTTTCCCCAAGAGTTTGTAATATACTCAACATGTGCTGAGCCCAGCCTACTACCTGTTGCAGAATAAACACTTTATAAATAAATGAATGAACGGAACTTTGGATTCTGGAATAAATAATGAAGGATACCAGGATGGTATGATACTTATTCACCCATCATCAAAATGGGGATAAACTTGGAATTTCCCTCGTGGTCCAGTGGTTAGGATTCTATGCTTTCACTACCAAGGGCCTAGGTTCAATTCCCGGTCAGGAAACTAAGATCCTGCAAGCTGCAAGGCACAGCAAAAAAATTTTTAAAAAGTGTGTGGAAGGGTAAATTTAAAAATAATCCAATGGCAGAGAATGGTGAGGAAGAGGATTATAAACATTAGTTTATAATATAATGAAAAAACATTAGTCGTGAGTTGATGACTGTTGAGAATGACAGGTGCATGGAGAGTCATTATACTGACACAATTTCTTTCTAATTTTGTGTATGTTTGAGATTTCCCACAGTGAAAAGTTTCTCAAGGAGGAAAAAAAAAAATCTCTTTCTCCTCCTCTCTTCCCACCCATCCTGTTTCCCAAAGGAACTGGTCAAAATACCAATCATATATCTATGAAACATTAAATCTGAATCCTAAATTACTAAATAGAGATTGTGAGAAGAGTTAGCATACTTTATGTTCACTAAAAAACTGTATTCCAATTAAGAATGCTTGGAAGCACTCAGAAGATTCACAATATAAAAATATGTGTGGTGGAAAAATATTTTTCAACATAAAGTAAATATCCTTTCCCTCTCCCTCACATTTCTTTACATTTAAAACTTTCTCCAATCAGGTAGGAAGAACACTCCATGATTACTAGCTGGTGGAAACAATGACATACCCAGTCACAAAAAAGACAGGAATTCAAAACCCTGACCCTGGGATAAGAAAGAGAGATTAAAAGTATGACATTTAAGAGCAAAGCTCCCATGGTGTCCAAGCAGCTATCAGGAAAGACATGCAGAAACTGCAACAAGAGTCTCACAAACAGAAAGGGGAAAAAAGAGGGTTCCCAAGGAAGGGTACAAGATGTCAGAAAGAGTTTTAGGGATGAACAACTGTGAAAAATCCTAATTTGATCCTTGGGTAGAGTTTCGCGAAGTAGCAGGAGATTCCACTTGGGAAGCAGCATGGAGATTTTGCCCTTCTACAGTAGAGAAGGTGTGCACATAGCGTGTTTTCACAGCTGAGCCTGTGACAACCTCTCCAAGTCCCCTGTGAATGTGGTGGTGGATATTTACTGTATATTCAAGAGTAACATGGACAAGGTCCAGGCAATTGTCAGGCTTTGAAAAGGCTTTGAAACAAGGATGGATGCTACAAAGACCTATGTGAACCAATGTGCTAACTAGTTGCTCAGGCATGTCCGACTCTTTGCAACTCCACGGACTGCACACTGCCAGGCTCCTATGATCATGGCATTCTCCAGGTAAGAATACTGAAGTGGATAGCCATTCCATTCTCCAGGGGATCTTCCTGACCCAGGGATTGAACCCAAATCTACTGCATTGCAGGCAAATTCTTTATCATCGGAGCCATCAGGGAAGCCCATGAACCAATACAACAGCCAACGATTAAATCTGGTAAGGAATTGGGACATCTCAGTGGTGAAAATAGAGGTAAAATATCTTTAGCAATCCCATCTTATGTCTGTAAGCCCTACAGAATTTAGATGCAACTATGTAGGAGGTTATAATTGACTGAGATTAATTTTTCCATATTTGTTAGGATAG